ATATCTGGAGTACTTATTACTGCATAGTACTTAGCTTCCTTAACTCTTTTCACAATTGTATCTTTAATTTCAGAAGCGAGCAAAAAAATTAACTCGTTTTGTATCTTGTGACTCAAATAATGATAATGAATCTCATTATTTTGTATACTTCGAATATGCTCAGCCAATACTGAATCCCACTCTGTGATCATTTCAACTAAAGCCATAAAGTTGCCATAAAAATTAACTTGTTTAGTATAGTGTAGTGTATTGTATGTTCTTTTAGTTTCTCATCATAGTATGTTCGTATTGACTCATGAATGAGCTGACTCTTGTATGTTTCATTGTACTAGAAATAGTGAGTAGTGACTTCCTAAACTATACCTATTATAGTTTACTAGTAAAGTTGTTTGTATGAATGAACATGTTTGTACACCTTTGCTACCCAAATGTATTGAACTGAATGTAGAACGTTAATATCCATATACATACACATAATATATAACTAAGATTCAAACGACCGTCGGACAAACAACCGAATACCCTAAGTCCACAACCAAACAAGGAACAAGAAGTAAGGCGAGTTATCAGTCCTAAGTCCTTTCAATACTACTTATATAACTATATTTATATAGATAAGATTTTGACAACATATAAGTTTGAAAGAGTTTAATAATGAGTTTTGCATATAAAAGAGTTTGTAAAACGATTTGAAACAGTTTGTTTGATAACACAGTTTGAAGTATAGTAAATCTGTTTGTTTGATAGTTATTAATCACATGTGATTGATATAATAACTATAATGTTTCTACTTGTATTCCCCCCCATAAAAGCATTTAAAATCATTTAAAAGATAAGTTAAGGGGTATGAACTCACCTGCAGTGAGTGATACGAATGAAAGATCGGTTTGTAGGATGCTAAGTGTCAAGTGAAGACTTGAGCACAACAGATCCTAATAAGCATATAATGACACATATATGTATATAATTAGTGTTTAAACAACTAATTATGCAAGGAAAGACACCCTAGGACATAGGAAACACTTAGATTCAAGTGCTAGAAGTACCAAGGGTTGCATATAATGGGTGTATGGCCACACCTTGGAGTGTACGGCCAAAATGGTGTGTTTCATGTGTGTGTACAGCCAGAGTGTACGGCCAAAATGGTGTGTTTCATGTGTGTGTACAGCCAGAGTGTACGGCCCAAGTGGGTGTGTGGTCGTACACTCATGGTGAAACATGCCATTGAGTGATTTAAAGTCCTATTAAGCATCTAGGAAGTGTGTTTTGACCAATGCCTAGCCTTAATGGAAGTTTAATGCCATTTTGGACCTTAAAAAGGGTGTGTACGGCCACACAAGGAGTGTACGGTCGTACACCCTTGATGATCATGTAAATATGGTCAAAAGTGTATTCTAAGTCTCTATCTTGCATCCCATAAGTGTTCTTGATCATGTGCTAGCTTAGAACTTGAGTATGAAGCCAAATAGCACTAAACAAAGGGGTGTACGGCCACATGGGGTGTGTACGGCCGTACACTCCTTGATGATCATGGTTTGGATGATTTCTAAGGAGTATAACTAGTAAGTAACAAGCATAAGGAGTGGTACTTACGATATAGAAGCCTTTAGGGGTGTTTGAGGTCCAAAAACTTAGTAGGTGTTCTTGGTGAACACTTGAAGATCTAAACAAAAGGAGTAATTTCATGGATGAAATCATAGATCCTTACTAGATAGTGAAAGGAATCAACAAATCATAGGAAGAAACACTTACAACTTGAAGATCTAGAAGGAAAATCGGATGATACTTGAGAGAGAAGTTGATTTCTTGGCTTAGGAGTGTGAAAAGAGGTAAATGAAGGCTAAGACTCTCATTTATAGATGAGAGTGTATGGTTGGGATGGGTGTACGGCTGTACACCCATGTGTGCGGTCGCACACACCTCATAAAGGGGTGTTTGGCTCAATTGAAAGGTGTTGAACTCAAATACACTCATCCCTAGACTCATACCTTGATTATACTAGGCTTAGAACACTCAAATTGACTCTAAACAATGCTAGAAGATAGAAAAACAAGTCTAACTTTGATTGATTTGAATAAGTGTACAAGATAGAAATTTCGGGTTGTCACACATGTCCATAACGGTCCGATTTCGCCTTTCTACAACTCCGTTCTGTTGAGGCGAATATGGTGTCGTAAGATGCCTTTGAATACCATTTTCTTCACAAAATAATGAGAATTCTTTTGAAGTGAACTCTCCCCCTCGATCCGTTCGAAGTGTCTTCATTTGATAACCCGAATTCTTTTCAACCATCAACTTGAACCGTTTAAAAGCGCTCAAGGCTTGAGACTTCTCCGATAGCATGTAAACCCACATCCACCGGCTAAAATCGTATACTAAAAGGAGAAAATATTTACTCCCTCCAACAGATGTAGGTGTGATCGGACCACATAAGTCCGCATGAACAAGTTGTAGATGTTTTTGAGCCCGAAAAACTGCGTGATCCGGGAAAGGAATTCGGGTTTATTTGGAAAGAACGCACCCTTCACATACTTGGTTTGGGTGCTCAATCTTTGGGACTCTGGTTGCCATATTCTTTTCATACAATTTCTTTAAGGAGAGAAAGTTAACATGACCGAGTCTAGAATGTCATATCCAAGTTGGTTCGTCTTTTGTTGCTAAAGACAAGTCGGTCTACTGATCGTTAGAAGAGTTTTATATAACCGGTTTGGGGATCGTTTAACTCTCAAAAGTAGAGTTTTGTTTCTGTCAAACAATGTCAGATCCGACCCATCCATTATGACCCGACTCCCTTCCTCCGTCATTTGTCCAAGACTAATAATATTGTTTTTTAGACTTGGATTGAAATATACCTCATTAAGGAGTCTTTGGTCGCCATTTTTGATATCGAATAAAATCGACCCTTTTCCCAAAATAGAGACGGTCGAACCATCCCCAAATTTCACATGGCCCGTAACGTGCTCATCTAGTTCGCGAAACTTTGAGCGGTCCCCGGTCATATGATTGCTAGCACCATTGTCGAGATACCATACCTCAGACTCGACTCGACTTTCTCCCGATGCAAGAAGATTAACACAAATCTTCTCTCTTAGAGACAGCTTTTTGTGTGCACATTCTTGTGAGGCTGCCATCATCAAAATAGGCTCTTCTTCGTTGGCTTGAGTGAGGTTCGCCTCCTCACCTCGATTCTTGTTTGGACACTCCGAAGCATAATGACCAAATTGTTCACAAGTAAAACATTTGATTTTACTTTTATCCTTTCAAGAAGGATTATGGTCATTCCGATTTGTATTGTACTCGCGACCACCTCCTTTGCCACATCCACGACCTCGGCCTCGTCCCCGACCTAGGTTACCATGTCTTCCTCGTCCTCTTGAAGTGTTTGACGAGTTTCTCTCGCCAGTTTGCTTCGAACGAGATTCCCACTCGGCATGTGTAAGCAATAAAGAAGGCCCTCCTTCTTTTTCTCCATAGCTTCGAAGTCTCTCTTCATGGGTGTTTAGACGACCCACAACTTCTTCCACCGTCATATTCTTCAAATCTCCGAATTGCTCGATAGATGTTACGCTTTGTATAAATCGTATCGGCACGGCTCGCAAAAACTTCTTCACAACCGTAATTTCTTCAATCTTTTCACCTAGAGATCGAATACCGGTTACGATAGTATTCAATCTCATGGAAAAATCATCTACCGATTCACTGTCTTTCATCCGGATCACCTCGAAGTCATTTCTCAAGGTTTGAGCTTTAGCCTCCTTGACCCGATCGGCTCCCATGTGCATCATCTTGAGCGTTTCCCATGCTTCTTTAGCTGTGTCCTTCTCAGCTAACATCAGAAGTACGTCCTCTGGAATTGCTTGATAAATAGCCGCCAGAGCCATCCGATCTTTACGTTCGTCCGTTTCTGCATTTTTAATTACATCCCATACTCCTTGTGTTTGTAAATTCACTCGCATTTTTATGGCCCACACTGCGTAGTTCATCTTCGTGAGCATTGGATAGTGTAACGTAACGCTACCGTCTTTCCGGTCCTTTGAAAACTTTCAACTTCTGCTTGAGAAGATGACGAGGTTGGTGTAGTCATTTTTGGCATATACTTGGGCATACACGAGTAAGAATTCTTTTTGTTTTCTTTTTTTTTGAAGTACGGGGACCAATATGAACTTTTCAGAAGTTCAGGGGGCAAACAGAACTTTTACAGAAGTAACACAGGGGCTAAATTGAAATTTTCTGAAAAAAGGGACAAAATTGCAATTTTTCTGAAAAACAGGGGCTAAATTACACTTTCCGGAAGAACAGGGGCTAAACTGCAATTTCCAGAACTTTGGTCAGCTGCTGACGTCACTGCTACAGTGCCGCTACAGTAACAGATGATGTCACCCTTCTTCTCCGGTGAACCTGGTTTTTCCGGCGAGTTTCCGGCGACTTTTGACCAACTTTGACCGGCGATTTGGAATCCTTCCGGTGGTCAAAAAATTCAAAAAAATATATTTTCGAAATCCTCAGAACAAGACCTTTCCAACGGTGTACACCGAAATTGTTTTCGAGACAAAAACATTTTGACCGAAAAACAAAGAATGCTTCCCCGGAGCTTAGCCAAGCTCTGATACCACTTGTTGGGGTTGAAACACACTTCTATTCAGAACTAGAACAAAAGAGAAGAGCTTACACGCTCAATATTACAAGAAAAAGAAACAACCCTCTAATACTCACTCTAAGTATTACACACTACACTCTCTGTTTTGTGGTACCTTACAACTGAGATTACAACTTCTATTTATACTAAAGCTAGCCACTATAAGTACCGTGGCAATTTATTGTGTTCATCGTATGAAATAAAGAGGCTGCCATTTCTAGTTGTTATTGTCAACAAAGGAGGCATTCATTTGTCAACTAAAGAGGGTGGTGCAGCTACTCATGGCAGGTTCACACACAAGTAGGTTTACACTCACAGCCATGACGGCCATATTCATTGGCTTGGTTATATTGATTCCGGGTGGATGATAGAAACGATAGTGGCGTTTGATTTGGGTGCGCAGACATCCAGTGAAATACCTCTTCCAGATTCTGTATACTGCCATGGCAGTCGCTTTCCTTACTTAGGAATTTTGGCTGGAAAGCTTTCTGTGTTGTTATGCGTTGAAAATGGTGAATGTGAGGTGTGGGTGATGGTTGAGTATGGGGTGGCTAATTCATGGGTCAAACATCATGTCTTTTCACAGTTTAGTGGTGATATAACTCCATATGGGTTCACATCATGCAGTGAGTTTCTTTTTAGATCTGATGATCGTCGTTTTGCTTTGTATGATCCAGTTTCAGCCAAAAATATAAAACCTTCAATATTAAGTTAAGAAAATCATATGTAAGTAAAATTGTTGGGTATGTTGACAGTCTTGTTTGGATAGAACCTGTAGGCCTGACAATCGTGTCGTGTTCGGGTTGGCGTGTCGCGGGTTGGCGGGTTGGCGTGTTAAAATATGTCAACTCAAACACGACCCATTTAAATATACAGGTCACGGGTTGGCGGGTTTGGAACATAAACCCTATCTGACCCGCCAACCCATTATTATACGGGTTCACAGGTTGGCGGGTTCGTGGGTCAGATTTGGGTTCGTGGGTCAGATTCCATAAATAAAATTGACAATTAAACATGAATAAATTCTTGATGGTTGATACAAACATATTCGAATTTTAGACACTTAAGTCTTAAACATCCAAATGAAGATTTAAAACATTCATAGAAACATGTTCAAACTAAATATTAATACAAACATAGATAATTCAAGTGCTAAAGTCATTTATTATATAATACTTATTAAATATTAATACTTGATCCATAAATACATTTAAAAATAAATAAAAGTTTTTTTTATTAAAAATATAAACGGGTTGGCGGGTCACCCATTTATTTTTTGAGAAACTCCATATATGATCCGTTTAATAAACGGGTTGCGGTTGGCGGGTTGAAAAACTCAACCCAAACCCATTTATTTCGTGTCGTGTCGCGGGTCGTGTCGAGAATTGTCAGCCCTAAGAACCTGCCAGGCGATTGCAAATTTGAAGAGGCATCAGCAGGATGGTGAATGGGGAGGTAAAGCCTTTAGATTTTCCGTTTATTCTATCTCTTGGTATATAACTGCTTTGCAAGATGCTCTGTTTCTTATTAAGTTTCAATTTCTCGTCCATTAATTACGTCTACATTATCCATTGTCAACATGATGTATTTGACATTG